TAGTGTAAAGCGCATAGAGCCTGCTGCTGAGCGGGGATATGCGCTATACAAATGCTATCTATTATTATTATTATTATTTTGTGTGTGTGTGTGTGCATATTTGCGTTTTCAACTTGCATTGCCAAACAATTTCAAGGAATGAGGTGGCTTTTAAAATTATACGCCCAGTGCGTTGACCATTTCTCCCCAGACAGGCTCAAATACGCTGAAAGTGCCCTAAAACATAAACCCGGGCCAAGGCTTTAGGTAGGGCGCGCCTGATTGGCTAGCTTCTAGGTTATTTTAGGACTTGGACAATCCAGGCTGCCGTAATTTTAAAAGTGCAGTATATAAATATGCAGTTTTTACAATGAGCTCCCCCCCCCCCTAAAAAAAAAATTAAAATGTTGTCACCAAGAAAACAAATAAAGATAATATTATTCAAAGTTGTATTCTTAACAATTATTAAATTTTAGGATGTTTTTAAAGAGTTTGTTTTCTTGTTACCAACATTCAAAATTTTGGTTCTCCTGTAAATTGTAAAAAACTGCACATACTATACTTTTAAAAATGACGGCAAAAGGCTGGCATCCATTCACTCGTGCATGTGTGGCCCGCTTTGTAAAGCAACAAACAACTCTAAACACTCCGTTTCTGTCTTACACGAAGCTTTACTCATATTCTTTGTATTGCAGAATCTACGTTTACAGGATTGTCACAGAAGCTATAGTCCACGATATTATAGACGACACGGCAACAATGATCAGGGCATGGAAGGGCGACACTCCTCTCTCGGAACCGTTCTCTGAAACATCCGACGAAAAAGACAAAACATACCAAGTAAGACAAATAAATAAGCAATGAATATACATGTAGATCGAAATAATGATCAGTATTTTTTATAATCAATTGCTTGAGTTTTAAGACGACATTTTGGCTCACAAAAATGAAATAATAATGAAAGAGTGAATTAATTAATCAGATTAAGCCACAATACCTTTTGTGCGAACGAATGGGCACATCTTTAGGAATTATTGATGAACAACAAGGTACATTTTGTATGCAAACATATATTACTTCAAGTGGTCTGTCACCTTTCAAGATTTTAGTTTTCACATTGCTTTTAAAGTGGTGGGGTTTATCAGTTAGCAAACCTAGTGTAGGTGGTTCGCGGGTGCTCTGATGTGGTTTGGTCCTTTTTTTTTATCAAACGTCTATCGTTCTTATTTCTTTCTTCTTTTCTTCGTACGTTACTCTCTAAAGGAGCACCTCTAATCTTCGGCACTGATATGACCTATTCGTGTTACAGGAGACTTAATACTCATATCAAAACTAACCCCCCCAAAAAAACACAAAAAAAACAACAAAAAAAACAAAAAACAAACAAACACCAAAAACACTTTGAGTTTATTTAAGTGGTAAACGACTGCCGGAATTTATATCTAGTGACCTACTCACATCGGAAGAGGTAGCATGGTAAATTATCTCTAAATATCAGTATGCCAATTCGTACGTAATAGGCAATTACATCATCAAGCCCAGTACCGGTATCTCGAAATGAGTAAGTGATATAGGCATAAGAAAAACAATAGGAAGGAAGCCTGGCCTATGAGTGGCTCTGGAAAGATTTTCTGAAAGTTAAAAGCTTGTTTATTTCTAGAATTCATGAAAACTTTGAATGCATTTCGTGCTTTTAATGGGTGGTTCATTGCTTTTTAAAAAATATTGACTTGAGTATGCTTATAATTTTATCCACATTGTTTCCAGCCTGAGTTTCGGAAATGCTCCCCCCCCCCCACTCTCTATAAGTAGAGTATTTTATATGTGTGATAATTCGTTTCCAGTGTGTGCTTCGCAACGCGCCTTTTTTCTATTTAACTGGAGTTTTCCACTTGCTTCCATGCCTATGTGATATAATTATTGTGAGAGGCATCGTTGTGAAATCAGGCGCTTGTTAGAATAATGAAATCAGCGAAATCGGCATTTTCCAGCCGGTTTGGCAATCTTTATCAATTTTCTGTTTTCTGGTTCAAATCCTTGTTTCTCCATTTTAAAACATATTTCGGTGTGGATTTTAGTTGAAAACCGTTGATTGATTACTGGCACAAAAAAGTGTAAATTTTCATTTTCCAAGGAGTCTCAAGCCATGAATTTCCCCGATCTTTGGCGACCAGTTTCAAAACTCATTCAACTGCAATTCATGTCTCGATGTCTATTTCAGATAAATGTGGGTTTTTTTTTATTCCAAAACAAGATAAAGGAACAAGCTTTACGATGATACCAAAAACTCCATATGGCCCAAAATTGACGAACGCCTGAATCCACTGTGTTGCGATACCTCCATTTTGAGATAAAAACGACTTGCAAAGCACGGTTTGCCAGCTGTATAATAGAGAGGGGAAATGCTGATAAAGGGAAGAGAAATTACCCGAAAGCAATTATTGTCAATTATACCCTGCTAAGTAAACCACGGGAAAAAGAGCCGTCGCCTAGGGGATACATGTATTTGTAAGCGCATTATGTGTGTAGAAGAATGCGTGCGTATTATTTTGTGCGCGAGCGCGCGCGCGCGTGTGTGTGTGTGTTTGTGTTTGTGTGTGTGTGTTTGTGTGTATGTGTGTGTGTGTGTGTATGTGTGTATGTGTGTGTGTGTTTGTGTGTTTTTGTAAGAGAGAGAG